GATCTGTTCGCATGTAGTATCACTCGAAAAAACCTGATCTACACTCGAAAAAAGGGGACCGATTCACTCGAGAAAAACTCGATCTCAGCCGGACACTATAACTACCGTGATAATAATTTTAAAGATAATTGACAAAAATGAAAAAAAAAGGTAAAATTCATCATTTAAGGGCATTACATCTATCAGAAGTCGTCTGACTGTATTGATTTAAATAAACAGTAAATAGATCTCCACATTCTGTCTGATTTTCTATATCTATAGCGTTTTTCAAGATAATCGTCAAAACCTACATTTTATCTATTTTAAGTAATGTCGGCCATGTTGGTTGGCAAGCGGTATTATCAGATACGGTTTCGTAGATATCCCATTGATGAGTGTGGCAAAGTTTAGTTTCAATTGGCCATGTTGTTTCAGAGGAGAAAATACTTGTAAAATTTTACGGACTATGGACGACGATGACGATAACAGATGACGTACGCCAAGTTATGGGAATGACTCACTTGACCTGTAAGTTAGGTGAGCTAATAAAAATAAGCCTTTCAGTTATTCAAAAATTGTTCGTCTTTTTGTATTTTTGAAGGATCAAATCAAAATAATAAAAAACAAAAACCATCTTTTAATAATGCTTATCTCAATATAAAAATATGCATAAAAGCTGAAAACAATTTGTTTATAAAAAAGGCTGATCATAAGAAAAAAAATGAAAGAAATTGAATCTTAAAAAACAAAAATCAATATATAAATATGATTATCTATAAAACAAGAATGCATACTTCGTCTTCATTAAGGCAAATTAATTGTTTAGGTATTATATTATCATGTAAATCTCGTATCATTTGAGACAACCATTCGTCATTCCCTCCAACTTTATAAATCGCTGTTGTTTCTATACAGGTTTTTTTCTAATCACTATTTTATTTGTTATTTTGACTTTTTTTTTGTTGGTCAGATCATTTGTTTATTAATATATGACGAAATTAATTTGCACTGGATTCACACTGAAATTCTAATTGCATGTAAACTTTATTAATGTTACTAGTACACATTAATCACGTCTCTCTAACAAGACATTGTTTACCTGTATACAAAAATATCAATTGTTGTAGAAAGGTGAACACACCGTGAATATTAAGGTCAACTTGATTTTTTATTTGATTGGTTACATTTTCGCAAATCTATTTCTAGCTTTCCAAAAATAGTCAGAATCGATACTTATTCTTCTAAAGGGTCGATATAAGATTTTGGTTATGTTTGTCCCTTAAAGATCTTGTCTTGTTGGTTATTTTCGCCGTATAAATTTTTCTTTGTCTAATACGCTTTTCGGAATAGAACGAGAAATGTGTAAAAAAGTCATCTGAAGGCAATAACTCATATAACGAGTCAATTTGGCATTTTCTTTCATGCTGACCTAGTAGATGTTGTCTTGCTTTTCATCACTGCTTATCATTTATATTAGTTTTTATGAGTTTTAATTTTCATATTTTCATAAGAATAACTGTAACATATAAAATTGGCAATAACCCGAATAAGTTGTCTACTAAAGATTGGTCAAGTGACTTTTCTGTGGTGTTGAATATTCTTGCAGTTAACAGTTTCTGTCTATCTTTTCAAGTTTTCAAGATATTTGGTTAAAAAGTCTAAAATTGGGGGAAAATTGTCAATAATATTTATATAGGACAATAATTCCTGTAAAAAGTCCACTGACAATTTTGGTCGTGGGACGTATTTGTCAGTGTTATCTTGTTAAAGATTTTGCTGATTACAGTTTCTCTTTTTCTATTAAAATTTCAAAATAACAGAAGAAAACAAAATTGGGTTTAAATTCATATAAGGAGTCTATTGAAGATTTCGATCATAATGATTAAAATGAATTATGTAGATTTTATTTTTATTTTTGATTGTTACATTTCTCTCTAGTTTTCTTTTGTAAGTTTCAGAATGATTACAAAATAGGTTAAATCTGCTATTTAAGGTAATGACCCCAATAAGGAGTCAGTTTGTGATTTTGACAATGTGACCTATTTGTAGATATTTAATTGTGGATAATTTTTGCTCTTTCGGTTTATGTCTATATATTTGAGTTTTTAAGATAATAATCATAAAACGCCATTCCAAAAATTTTACTTAACCAGGCCAAACCATTGTTTATACAGTTTGTTCGATATTACTTTTGTTTCAAAAGACTTTGTTCTGTCTTAATAACAATGTCCCAAACTGCTTTTTCCAATTTGCAGTTTGAATTCATCTCTTCAAACTTATCAACTGATGAAAGTGCAGTGTAATAAAACATATTCTTACCATCCAATTTCAGTGATTAACTGTCTGTTTCATTAGAGGGTTAACATAATTGTATTAATATATTAATGGAATTCTATATACCGTTCTTACTTAAATTAATTATCCCGCTCAAGTGTGCACAATAAGAACCTAGATGTACATATTTCTTGTCAAAAATCATATTCGAGAAAACCAAGGCAACTTTTCCTTTGAATGTTATTGACGATTATGTATGCTGGAAATTGCACTGGTGGTGAACTTGAATTTTAGTCTTGAACAAGCCAAAACCAAATACTCTGAAAGCTGAATAGACGTGTTATTTATCTTACCAAACCTATCAATACTAATAAATAATGCTAACAATAGTAAAAATCGTAACAACATTAAAAGAGTTCAAAAGACTTTAGTCACTAAAAACATTCAGCATCAATAACTTTTGGATCCCATGTGTTAAGTTTGATGCAACGACCAAAATCTCCCACAAAACCACAAGTTCTTTGCCTGGTATCTATGATGAGTTTATTTACAATCACTGGGTCGATGCCACTGCTTGTAAATGTGTCATCCCCGAGGGTATCACCAGCTCAGGAGTCAGCACTTCTTTTTGACATGAATTAATTTTGATATGGCCATAATTATAAATAAACTGTTAACAAAACGTTAAATTTTCAAAATACTAAAGATTTTACTACCCAGGGATAGATTACCTTAGATGTTTTTGGCAAAACCTTTCGGAATGTTGGATGCTAATGCTCTTCATTTTCGTTTCCAAATTTTGCCTTTTAACTTTTTGATTCGAGCGTCACTGATGAGTCTTTTGTAGACGAAACGAATGTCTGGCATACAAAACTTTAAGCCTGGTATATATGATGAGTTTTTGATAGTCCATTTTTTATTTCAAAATTCAAGTTATTTCGGTAATCGTGTACAAGCTGAACTTTTTTTCTTTGTTCTTTCAAGCTATTGTAAAGATTGTAACAATCTATTAGGGAAAGTACCCTAAACATACGATTAACAAAAATGAGAAACTAAAGTACAACAGTGAAATTTTAAACAAATCGTAAATGTTATGTGAATAAGAGACTAACGAACGAATTCTTGATGTGAATATATATTTGAAGATATGAACGAATATTGTATCCTGCAAATGAAAAATAAATAAAATGAGGTGTATGAAATATTTGAAAATAAGTAAGACACGATAGATCGTCAGTGACAGTTTTCATCTTATTCTCCAAGTTAGTATATTTTTCATATTTGTTCACAATTTTCGTTATGAAGAAGGAAAAATATTCTTTGTGTTTTCCCTTTTGCTTCTGCACTCTCAAAGTTGTTATGTTGAAATGATAAAGAGAAATCGGTTCATGTTAAATGAAACAGTACAATTTTAACATTTAAACATTCAGAGGTCATCATCTGAAAAGTTTGTTTTATACCTAAACAACTTACTAATTCTCTCAGTTGTTTTCACTTGGTTTGTATGCATTAGATGTAAGTCTCTCATATCTGAGGGGCGTCAGCCCCGAAGATATGAGAGGATTACATCTGATGTACATAGAAGTAATAAATAAATATGTTATCTCTTCTCTTGTTCTAAAAAGTGCAATTAGTTTTGATAAAACAGGAAAAGTGACATTATCTTAAATTTTCCAGATGCAGTAACACTTTCAGAAGATGTTTCATAGTTATGGATTTGGAATAAAATCTTAATTGCGTCTTTTTTTCTGTCATCAAATTGATACCTTATCACTGCTTTTGTATGGCAATATGAATTGTTGTACTGTCTTGTCTTTTTCTGGTTTAATTGCCAAAATCTGAACTTTTTGCTGATAAATGATAACACTTCTATATAAACTAGTATACACAATTGATTTACGAGATTTGAACATCGGTACACTACTGTTGTCTCTTAATAAATAAGAACCTACTTCCTAGATTTCAACACTATTTACTACTACTGATGATAATGATAAATAAACAGAAAAAGAGTGAACCGCGGTGTTAAAAAGTAATTCACGGCAAAATTATGGCGGACAGAGTAACTAATTCCTATTGGACTAGTTTCCACTGACAATCGTGGGAACCATTATAAATAATTGTATGTGATATATAAGCACCAATTGAGGAAATGGTTGCATAGCAAAGAACAAGATATAAATAAAAAGTATATACTACGATTGGAAATCGGATTTGTGACGTCGACAAAAATGACTCTACTAAATCTGGTTTGACTTAAAGAGTTTTTAACGACGTCAAACAGACCCAACGTGAACACGACGACAATTAGGCATACAGAAAATCAAATTTGCATCATCTACGATATAAATACCTAGAATAATGACATATTTTTTTTATACTGACTTGCTCAGCAAGAATATCAAGCGAACCCGCGAGTGCGGGTTGATATTCAAGCTGATGAAGTAAATATCATAAAATAAAATAACATTATTCTTTTTATCGGCAATTTGTCTACCAAAATGTTTCTTGATATAAAATATGAAATAACACGAGGTAGATAACAAACTTTTACGTATAAAAACTTAGAGCTAGTTGTTCGGTTTATGAATAACGTCGCGTGCATTGATTGACACAACTGGCGCGTATGGACACACATACGTGTTGATGCATTGTTTTGTGATGTCATTGTCTAATATTTCGAGTTTCACGTACTGTGCGTGATCTCAAAATATATTGAGTATCAGGATCAAAGAAAACAATGTACAAATTGTCGATATATTAGTTTATTATCAGTGTCTAGCATAAAGATTTGTACAAATATCAGTCGATCGACACAATATGAACCTCTTTCGTTTTTAAGGCTGCAAACACTCGGCAAAAAGCTTCAAATAATGACTTGCGGCTTATATTCAACGATATGTTCAAGGAATTTTGATAATCTCACCATGCGCAACCTGCAAGGGCAACACAACTGTTTACTCATTTTTAAATGTTTTTGTGGGTACACATATTAAAAGAGAGGCGAAGGTTACCAAAGGGACATTCAAACTCATAAGTCGAAAATAAACTGACAACGCCATGGCTATTAAGATATACTAACTACATGTCCATGTTTTGTTTATGTGTGTCAGTTTTTTTTTCTAATGATAAGACGACTTAATATCGCTTTCTTCCAAACTTATCAGTAATAAAAGAATACTCTAATATATGCTTGAAATATTTTCATTATATCAGTACGAATAAACTGATTGTCTGTTTGTCCACTACAATCTTTGATTCAATGAAATATATGACTAAAACTTTTTTTTAAATCAATATTAAGATACTTTTAAAAGAAGTTAAATTTGTCCCTATCCGTATGGAAACTATTCCTCTAAATTCTTATTTGTTGTGGTGGTGCTGAATTCATCAGTAATTGCACTAGAGAGTTAACTTTGTCTGCAATGGAATAAAATATATCAAATATGTCAAATCCAAGGCATATCAAAACACACGTTTATGCATAATGATGATTTTTAACTAACTTCCTGTCACAAGTATAACATCCATGTGTAGTAGGGCAGCAGCCTGTGTTGATGTCAGATAATAGATTCGGTTTAATATATTCATGACTTAGAACTTAACATATTATAAAGATATATGTCTATTGTTGAAGACCGTATATTGATCTCTTCATGTTATTGGTATTTTGTGTCTTTGAGTTGTCTCATGGTCGTATACCTAAAATCTCCTCGTAATCATATTAACATTAAGTCAATTAGTATTTTCTAGAAAGTTGACAAAATTTAAAAAATGAAGGGGAATGCTGACTTTCCATTGTAGAGCTAGGATAATTTAGTAATGTCAAATATTTTCTACGCAATATTAGAAGTAGACATATTTGACCTATAATTGTTAACTTTTTACACATTGAGACTTGGATTAAGAGTTGTCTCATTGGCACTCATACCACATCTTCTGATTTATATTGACATAGATACATGTCTATCAAGGAAGATCGTATGTTGATCTTTAGATGTCTTTGGTATTTTTTGTTAATGCAAAAATTAACAGTTGTTAACAACTGTAAGAAAATAGAATAAGGAAAATGTGAAAGTAACTAAATAATTATACGTTAAAGCAATCACCCGATTCCGTAAAGCCATTTGGTAGCTGAGCGAAAGTTAAAAAGAAACCCTAGGATAAAATTTACAATAAACGTATACATACCTATGCCTGGAACGCTAAGTTTAAAAAATGCAAATGGAAAATAAAGAACCACGCCCACTGCTAAATACGTGACAGCATACCAAAATTCGACCTTTACTGGTTCAAGGAATGGTGCTACCACTAAGTACACACAACAGATAAGTACCAGTATAGGTATAACTATCGGTACCTGTAAGATTTACACATGCTTCAAATAATTTAGCCATTTTAATTTTCGCCGTTGTAATTTCTTCACATCATATGTACGATTCAAGTGAGGTGAACAACCCAACACTAACTGGTATATTTTTGTTTGGAAAATTTCATAAAAAATAGAAATGTAAACGTTTGTGACCGATTTCACTGCACAGAGCACGTGTTTTTGAATTAACGTTAAACAGATAAGCTTAAGATCAAACGCTTTAGAAACCAAAACAAACAGCCACTTAAAGGATCAAAATAGAACAGCTAAAGCCATCTTAGGTCATCTTGGCCTGATGCCACCTTATTTAAATCATGAGAAACTTTTGTTGTTTCATTTTACATTTTACATATTGTATCGCCAGGAGCTATCTCTCCTGTATACGACACATGATTTGGTTAAAAAGCCAATTTTTTGGAATTTAGAGCTTCTAAATTTTAAATGAATCGATTTCGCCACATCTATACATAGTTGTTAGATTATTAGGTAACAAAAAAATATAAAGAAAGCAAAAAAAAATTAAACATTAAATGATTGAAAAACATTTGAAAAAACAGGAAAATTCATTTTTATCAATCAACATCTACAGCTTGTTATTCTCACGTCCTAATTATAATATTTTCCTTTTCTGATGAATTGTTACCTTTAAAGGCCTTTTAGTATCTTTCATTTTAAATCTTAGTACTAGGTTAGCAATCATTCCAAATCCATAAAACAACCACGTCAAAAATCCCAGCAAATTCAGCAGTAGTCCTATGTTTGAGGGTAATATCATAATAAAAGATAACGCTACCTGAAAATATTATATTTTACAATTAACTTCTGCAAAGACATACATTTACAGATTTGGGATCATTCAGCATTGAATACATAAGACAAAAGTGGTGATTTTTAACAAATCTGATAAAATTCAAAAAGGCCATAATTTTTATATAATAATGAAACTGTAAAGTTAGTGAATGAATATAAATATCATGGTATTATATTCAAGCCTTCTGGCTCTTTTTTCTGAACCCATTAATTATATAATTATCTAAAAAGGCTTGTAAGGCAATATTTTGTATTCGCAAATCATTATACTCAGAAAATATGAATGTGAATTTACATGTCAAACTATTTGATGCTTATGTAAAACCCATTTTGTTGTATTGTAGTGAAGTTTGGGCCAAGAACAGTTCTAATTTTGAAGTATATCATGATTCTTTTATACCTAGCACAGTGCAGCTTAAATTTGCAAAATACATTTTAGGTGTGTACAAGTAAGCAACTAATATTGCTGTCCTGGGTGAATTGGGTCTTTGTCCTCTCTCTGACTGCATCTAAGTCTAATATCAGTTACTGGTTATAGTTATTAAAGGCTTTTATTACTTAAAAATAGTATATTTGATAAATTAAAATATTTTTCAAATTGTATTGGCTTTGTTTCGTTTGGAAAAATCAAGGTACCTTTTCCAAGTCAAAATTGATTTCATCTATTGTGAATAAACTAGAGGAAAGATTTAAAAATTATTTGGAGGGGTTACTTTATAAGGATGACAAAAAGGCAGGCGGCACTAAGTGTAGAATATACCGTAATTTTAAAACAAATGTTTGCAGAGAAAAATATGTATTCACAGATATTGACAAAAAAAAGCATTACAACATTTGTAAAAATACGAATTAGCAACAGTAACTTATATATTGAAAAAGGTCGATATCTGAAATTGCCAGAAGAGGCGAGGATGTGTAAACTGTGTAATTCAGGAGTTGAAGATGAATTTCATTTTATTATAACATGTACTGAACTACAAAAGCCAAGGGTCGAATTATTTAGAAACATTATTTCTGTTATACCTTCTTTTTCTAATTTTTCTGAGTTTGAGAAATTTAAATATATAGTTAGCAGGAATGACTTAGATGTATATAACATATGTATTTAGGTGTCAACAAGATGTATGATATGAATCTGTCTTTAAAACAAGAAGTATAATACTAATCACTCTCCGATGTATAAATTTTATTTCTACTGAATTAAAGTATATTTTCATTGTTGTGTTGTAACTTGTGAATTCTTTGTAGTAATTTATAACATGGGACTTAACTCTAATCAACTCGGCCGTGGTATCAGTGATTTTAATTGTGTTGTTCAATGTATTTTTGTTTTTTATAAGTTTGTTCCAATTTATAATAATTTTGTAATTGATAATAGTTCAATGTTTGGACTTTAACCAATAAAAAATACTTACTTACTTAACACGTACTTACTTACAATGAAATTGTCCATAATACGTTTTAAATTCTACTTAGCTCGATTAAGCAGTACATTGCAGATGTTACTAAACGTAGACACAAGTCAAAAGTGTCAAACGGGGACTAAAGAGAAAAGACCATAGTCATTTAGAACCATGGAAGATGACGAACAACAATTATCCCTTAAACGAATTCCATTTTTACCTAACAATACTTAAAAGTTTAGGGTGAACTTAAGTGTTCTGAAATGTAATTGTTAAGCTCTAATTTTAGCATTCAATCGTTAACATAACCTGAGTAACCAGAACTGCTTTTGACTACTACTTACAAACATATCAGTGGTTACATGTATATCTAACGTATTGAGATGTCAATATGTATTTTTTACAGTAATTCGGCATAATTTTGAGAAATACTTACAAAAGCAAAAGACAACGGTACAATCAAGGAATGGACACGGGGAATAATAAAGCTGAAACAAAGTGGATCACAATGAAGATTAAAACGCACGATCGCCACACTCTTCTCCCGTTGGTAGAGGTCAAAGAGAGCATGCAGTTAATTATAACCATAGAGATATCCGATTATGTAAACAACTAGAAATTAGGTAAAACTCATCCACAAAAATATTCTGTCAACAACTTCAGTCTTATATATTATTACTTACTATCAATATGGTAGATGGTAATGGTATGTTTGAGTTGATGTTTAAGTAACTAAGACACTCTGGAAAAAGTCCTTCCCTTGCGGTAGCAAAGATGATTCTTCAGATAAAAAAGAAAAAATAGTGCAACGAAATAAAATGTTGGTGCACTTAAAAAGCATAAAAAATAATGCTTTACAAGTGGTGGGAACATTGGGTTTACATACAAGATACAAAGAAAAAACGAATAAGAAGGAAACATCTACCAGATTGTATGGTATTTTTAAGGGGTAAGTGTTGCTCAGTCTTTAGTTTTCTATGTTGTGTTTTGTATTTGTCTTTTAGTCGTTTTTTGGTTTTTGCCATGGCATCGTCAATTAGTTTTCTAATTATGAGTTTGGATATTCCTTTTGAATCGTCCGCTTCTATTTTATATTCAGCTGTCAATGTCAACCTTAATACTCAAAATAACTAAATACTACATATGAGTAAAATATTCTACAGAACAATAACTCTATTTTTTGTTATTATATTATAAAAGAAAGATTCAAATATTTTTCAAAACAATATCAAAATTCTATATGTATAAAACACTAAAATTTAACTCACCTACCAACAGCGAATCCCGACGAGTTTAATGACCCATAGACTGAACAAGCCACAGTTATAGGTACTAGTACTACTGCTCCTGGTAGTACGTATTCTGCCCAGGTCTAAAAACAATATTTATAATAAGTTACGCAACCGAATTATACTATTCAAACCCGAGACGAGGAAGTGAAACAACTTTGGCTGAACATAGTTTAGATATATTTGCTTTAGTGTCAGTCTTTGTACGAATCAGGCAATTTTGAAAAAAATAAAAACATGGCAGGAAAAAAACCATCGACCTAACCATCCTATTTTGAAGATGCCCTCATCGTAGATCTTTCATTTCTTCGTGTTTGGTAATTCGAGAAATCTCTAGATAACTTTTGGTTAGAATAATAGCAAATTATGGAGTTAGCTCCCCTTAATTGTTGATTTTTAGTGCATTTCAACCAAATTATACCTTGAATTACCAGAACAGGAAAAGGAAACGAATGTTATATTCGTGCACCATTATACATTTTGAACATAGATTAATGTCAACTTGAGTGGGTTTTTGTTTGTCATGTTTTCACCACTGCCTGATTCTTAGGCAGATTGGCACTTAAATGGAACTACTACAAGATTAGTCTATATTTTTATTTTACTTTCAAAGAGAGTTCAAATGATAATGAAAATGATCGATACAATTCTGAATTACAAAAGTAAGCCTTTTTCACCTTTAATATATATCATTAATGTTAGAACCATTACAAGCAGGAACTGTTTACCCTTCCGGAGCACCTCCATTTTTAAATAATGTTCACATTGCTTTTGCTTTAGCTCTCTGTGTTGCATTTAGTGACATTCTGTTTCAATGCCATTTCTATATGTATAACGGTATTGTCTATATGGATTAAATGTTTATATTTCGAACTTTCAGATTCTGCCATGTATTGGAATTACAGAATTGACATTTGCCGATAGACTATTAATTAAGCAATGAGAGATCAGATAATTTGAGTGAAATAAATGATATATATAAAGTAAAGTTCATTCCAATCATTAGCACGGAATTTAAAGCAACACCTCTGGAAAGACTAACTGTTTGAGGATCTAGAACATTTTGTGAATTAATGAAGACACTTATATTTTCTTTACTACTAAAAGAAGATCGTTCGGATTTTATTAATTACTGCTTGATCAAAGATGATAGAAAACCAAAAGATAAAAAAGAGCATTTCGTGCACCATATGCACATTATTTTTTTTTCTTTTAATTGAAACAAATATTTCGAATTCAAAAGAGAGGCGAAGGATACCAAAAGGGACATTCAAACTCATAAGTCGAAAATAAACTGAAAACGCCATGGCTAAAAAAGAAAAAGACAAACAGACTAACAACAGTACACAAAACAACATAGAAAACAAAAGACTAAGCAACACGAACCCCACCAAAAACCGGGGATGATCTCAGGTGCTCCGGAAAGGTAAGCAGATCCTGCCCCACATGTGGCACCCGTCTTGTTGCTCATGTAAGTACAAACCCGGTGATATGTCTAATTCGGTAGGTCACATTCGGGGGAAGGGGACGAGATTGTAGTTACGATAATTGGAACATATCCGTCGTCATCTGTGAAACAGACATTCCATAACGGTCAACCAACTCGTGATGGAGTCCGTAAAATTTACGAAGGGATGATTTCAACTTCACCACTTGGAACTCTTGGTTTAATAGCTTCCTTGTAAGCAGTAACCCTCTATCAAGGAAATCATGATAGGAAATACAAGCCCTGGAATATCGTTTCAACTGGGAGATATATAATCCGTATGCAGGCGCTGCTGGAATGTTGCTGCATAGAAAGGAAAGTTCACAATTGGGAAGCTGAAATCATCTCTTTTGTCGTAAAGTTTTGTTCTCAACCGACCCTCATTGTCAATTTCTAGATGTAAGTCAAGATATGAGGCAGACTTAACTGTATCTGTTGTATCCTTTATCTCAAGGTCGATGGGATAGATGCGTTCAACATAGTCACCAAATTTTGAATTATTTAGTGAGAGAACATCATCTATATATAGCGGAAGGAAAGTAAAGTTGAAGGATACTTCTTTTCTTTCTTCCTAAGAAGTTCCTGTATGAAGTCAGCCTCATATGAATATAGGAACAAGTCGGCAAGAAGAGGGGGCACAAATGGTTCCCATGGGAATGCCGATTGTTTGTTGAAAATTACGTCCTCCAAACGTAACAAATATGTTGTCAATCAAGAAATCAAGTATCTTGTTAATGTCAGTTTCAGAGAATTTTTTGTTTGAATCAGAGTGTTTTTTTAAAAAGTACGATTTAACCCTCCCTAAGACAAGAACCTTGTATCTACTTAAGCCATTCTTTTTTATGAAACAAAGCATTACCAACTCTTTCAATTTGTCTTTTAGTTTGGAATGGGGAATACCTGTTCAAAGTATCAAACACTGAAAAGGCAGCAAATTACGCACACTGCTGTGACGGACCCCCTGTATATCTAAAGAATCACTTTAGACACATCATTTTTCCCTAGCTTGTTGGATTTCAGTTTTGCAAGAGACAGACAGTCTGTCATAGATCACGAACGTTCGTTCTTTTGACATTATAACCAGCTTTCCATGTCGGTGGCGCACATGGTCTTGTTTCGTTTGGAATTGAAGTGATTCCCTACACTGAATTTTAACTGACATCGGTTAACTTGCTTCACATATCAAAGGCAAGGATTTCTTGTGAAAATAGGTGAATGTTATGTAGTTCCTTGGGACATAGTCATTCTTCTGAGGTCATGGGAAAACAAGATGACTGCAAGACCTCTTCGCAATCCCTGAAGACTGTTATATACTAATAACCACAAATATATTGCATGACTATTCCAGGAATCTTTACCCTTGTAACATTCTTGTATAACTCACCCCTGCAACAGCCCAGGATGACAAATACTCATCTTTATTTAGTACAGCAAAGTAAGATACATTCACCAACAAATAAACCACCAAAACAAGCAGTACAGAGGTAATGATACACAGTGGTAAGTTTCTGTAAGTATATTTATCATTATCTTCATCATCCTCGTCTCTAGTTACTATGTTTGTGTTATGTGTAGTGGTTTGCTGACTGTTGTTTGTTTGTTCGTTAGGCCTTCCGGTCATCACACTTTGGAGTTCGATTATCGTACTTAGAATCAGAATTCAACCCATCAAAATGCTGTTTTGAACACAAATTTTGTACTCCGAGTACTCAAGTAAAGTTTTATGACCGTAGGCTCAGGTGTTGTCTGTGTTTTTTCTCACCTTTATATTGATATTAAGACCTTTGTGAAATTAAAATCACATAGAAAGTATTTGACTTACTACGGATTCGGTTATAAAGAAAGTAAATAATTCAAAATATGACATAAATTGTTAGAATTCTAAAATGAAGCGTGAGTTTATGTTCAATCATCATCATATCACCAATTATTAGTGAATCGAGAAAAAAGCAAGAAATATGAATCTGCACATAAATTAAAGCAAATTAACTACTACAACTAAACCAGAAACATATCGAAGGAATACAACTTTTCAATATTTTTTTGTGTTTTTTGCTCAGTTCTTAAAGATGAGTGATAATGTTCATATGCACAATTATAAAAATAAGAAGATGTGGTATGATTGCCAATGAGACAACTCTCCACAAGAGACCAAAAGACACATAAATTAACAACTATAGGTCACCGTACGGCCTTCAACAATGATTAGTCTACAAATAAACAACATAGGTCCATAAAAAAATCAAATCAAAAATATGTCTAGATACTGTGGTAAATGAACAAAAAACCGATGTCTTCTCTAAAAACTAACTATGTTTTTTTTCAAGTAAGCTACCTCTTTCCTGTTAGCCTGTCCAACATTAAAATAAGGAGATGAGGTATAATTGCCAATGAGACAACTATTCAACAAAGGACAAGGATGTGAACAACTATTCAAGTCCCCATACGGCCTTCAACAATGTGCAAAGGGCAAACTCATACCATATAAAATGTTAAGCCCTTATATAATATTAATAGGTCGCATATAAAGCGATTTGCATTTAAACGTTTGTCTTTCCCAAAAAGTACATTTTTCCTTGAAGATTATACGCATTACCGTTTTGGTTTCTTTAATTCCTCGACAACAAAATTTAACTGAGCCCTGTAAATAAAACGAGATGTTGTAAGAATTAATAATTAATCTTGTGAAAAAAATTTAAAAGATTTTTTTAAATGTCATTTATAGCAATAATGAATACTATTCTTATAAAAAAATATAAGTCCTTTAAATGAAAAGAAAAAAAAACAATCCTTTTCACAACTCTCGAAATTGTTTACATTCAATAAAGAAGAGGCAATAAAATACAAAATAACTTCTTTTACGTCAGAACTACCAGATTATCTTAACAGAATTTTCACCAACTAGAAAATCCTATTTGAAAAGCGGAAGACTTGTGCATGGTGCTTTCTCCAATACAATCTTATTACAGTGCAGGAAACAAACTTTCATCGATTAGCATTCTATTCTATTTTATTTACTGGCTGCATGGTGCTATCTATGTTCTATGGAGAACACTCACGTGAGCTGTGAGTCCATTAAAACTTTCCCTATAGGGATTGCCATTATGTACACTCCGATAAAAGAAACAAAGAGTGTTTACCATCCATCGAAAGCCCACAGTCCACTATAAACACCAGATACTATAGTTGTTGGGTTGTCTATAGTCCCATCAAACCCAGTCGTTAAACTTCCGAGCTGTCCTATATAAAAAAAACAGAAACATTATCTTTATTCAGAAAATTAGCCTGCGAATAACTAATATTTAGTACTACTTTTCCTTGTGTTGAACTTGCGGTGGCAAATCATTTTAAAACTTGCTCTTGTTGTTTAATAGAGTGTAAAAACTGTCCATTATAATACTGATAGATGTGTCGTTGAAAATAAAAAAAAGAATGACTTTGGAGATTACGGACAGTATTAATAACATGATGAGAATGTTATTGTTTATTTTATTAATTCAGTTTTTGTTAAGCAGACATTTGATGTTTATTATACTCTGTTTAATGGGAGTCCCTACCACCAAAGCATAAATTTCAAATGCATGCTCATTCATGTTTTGAAATTGATCAAAACGAAACCCTGTCTTTACGTTTTCTGATAGTGTTTGTACATTTTATTCTCTTTTTAACCCTGTATTTTCGATTTTTTCAAAAAAAACATTCCCTTCTACTGTCTTGTAAATTTCCGATTCTGATATTGCATTTGTATTCGCCAGAATACTCTTTTCACACTCATTTATATTTCCAATGAAGACAGATGAAGGACTACGCATAAAACTGAACAAAAAAAGTATAATTTTAACCTTTATTTTTCCCCTCACTTAAGTGATTTTTTTTTGCACTTCCTAAAATATTGTAATTGAAAATGCAAGTTAGCCAATAATAATTGGTATCCATTTTCCAACAACTTACCCTCACCACCAAGTTCTTACCTTTTGCTAGTGAAATGATACCGCCAACAATAATGATTGTTAATCCTGCTAACTTCAACGTTGTGAATAGTATCTGGGTCCTGGCAACTAGGCGTACACTTATACAATTGGTTATACCCGCAGATACTACAATATAAAGTTATTTGAATTGTGTATTGTCTTTCCACCAAAACACATTTTTTAAGAAAACAAAATATCAAATTCTAAATTTATCAGGAGGATAAAAATTGCATATATTTTACAATTCAAGGATATATGTTGTCCTTTATTGAATGACAGAAACCAAGAAAACAACATAAATATTTGTCATCAACAATTTTTCATCTTCTTTTATTATCTATTAAAACAACGGTTTATAGTTTCATTGTAGACCAAACAAATTAATAGCTTACATAAAACAAAAGCCGCTATTATTTTCTTTGTTGCTTCATTTGGCCCACACTCATCAAACACAGCTTTCGAGATATATTCGGCTACTGTTAAACTTTTAATAACTTGTCCTCCAGGAAAGATCAAAAGTTGTGCCCAGGTATACATAAAAGCTGGAAAAGTTCCGAATGCAGCCAATAAATATCCAACGTCACTTCCTGATTTTGGGATGATCAATCCAAGTTCTGCATATACAAGCGCGCCTGAAATATTGAAAAAATATACGCAAGCTGTTCAACAATAATTAACCGTGAAAAAATTGTAATGAAGAACAATACAGATAAAATGGTCAGATTATCTACAGTGAAAAAAAATATCTAAAGTGTGTAAGTATCTCATAATAATTTTTCAACACTTTACTACTACCTTTTTTGGCGCCGGCAAAATAGCCACTCCCTTTTTTTTAATTCGTCTTTTTTGTACTCTTATCATACATAAAGCAATAAATAAATAAATGCATTTTGTGAATTTGTTATGGTCAAATTTATTTACTTAATTCAACAACTTGTTCGTCTGTTTTAACTAAGTACATTTAAACCATATCTATATTATCTAATGTTGGTGAATCTATAAGTGTTACATACCCATCAAAGATATTAGTCCACATCCACACCATGTTATAAGACAAAAAGCAACGGATCCGGTATTCTGTAATACGCCTTTCGGGGAGACAAAAATACCAGAACCTGCAAAAGTTATAACTTTAAATTTATTACCAACTCTTTTATGTACAGCATCTTTACCGACTCAGTCAAAATTTACAAAATGGATTTTTTTTTCGAAAGGATGTTTTAAATGTGTATAATGTATATCAAAGATACTATGTATCCTCTCAATATTTTGGTCTATTTACAAATGAAATCAGTTGCACTACTTTCTACGAAAATATGAAAGAAATAGTTTTATTTTGAACGTGCACTCCGGCGTTCCGTCGTTCTTGTTTTAATTTTCATCCACCCAGAATGTTCCAGGTACCGATCAATGAACTTTTGGATATCATATCTAAGACTTAAAGGATTTGTTAAGGACAATGGATATTTCAGGGTTTTGTTTTGTACCTTTGACATGATTTTAAAGATCCGCGAAAAAAAACCTGTGGAAGCCGATTGCCGACTTGACCTTAGATAGATGGGTGACCACTCCATTCCCTTTTTATAACCAAGTGGTTATATGTAATAAAATGAAAATTTACCTTTTTGTTTGTGTTTTAACTGCATGTTTTAATGAAATTCAGCTAAAACACCCAGAGTGCAGTGAAAGTAACAAACGGCCAAAAATAATAATATGTACTGCATAAAAAATGCAGTTTGAATATTTTAAATTGAGTACATTGTAGAATTGACAATTTAAGCACGACGGGTGCCACATGTGGAGCTAGATCCGCTAACCTTTCCAGAATACCTGAGTTCACCCCGGTTTTGGTGGGGTTAGTGTTGCTCAGTCTTTAGTAGGGTATGTGTTGCTTTGGAGACTTATTTGTGTTTTCGTCATTTTTCGATTTTTTTATATGGTTTTTGTCGGAATCTCTTCGACTTTAAAATTTTAATTGCCATTTTGGTATCTTCAGCTTAATTTTTTTTGCGTTTTCTTTTAATTCCTCTTTGTATTAATTGCTCTTTAACATTTGAAACTTGCGGATTTTCAATAATTGGTTTCTAGTACCACTAGAATAAAGTCACAATTGACAAGTTGGTGAAATGAAGTGACATTGAATGAATTCTGAAGATTCTGTTTTAAATCATATTTACAAAAAGAAAACAACCCCCCCCCCCCCCCAAAAAAAAAACATAAACAAATATACAAGCACTGAGGTATAACGCTGCAGATACAATCGTTCACAAGCAGAAGTGGTATTGATAACGATAACATGATAAGTGTTTATAAAATGTGAATTCCAGACTATTGGGTTTAAGTTATTATAGTATTTCCTCCCGTTTATGGTTCTGTTTACAAAAATGTAAAACCAAACTATGTGGTATGGGTTTTGCTTATTGTTAAAGGCCTTGCGGTTACCAATAGTTTCTTACGTCTACATCATTTCGTCTCTGATAGAAAGTTGTTTCTTTGGCAATCATACCACATCTTCTTACTTTTAAATTAATAAGTAAGGACTGTGTTGGGTAAGGTTTAATTACTAAAAACACTATTCAAGCAGTCAATGCAGACAGAAACCTTTGATGAACCATTTGTATGTTTCTCTAATAGAAGACACTATTGAAAAATGTCAAAACAAGAGGAGCTTACTTTTATTTTTAGACGATTGAATAGAGTAATACTAAGCCCTATCAGTCTGGAATAATATTGTATATAGATTACCTATAATAGTTCCTACAATGATAGACACACCACTGAGGAATCCAAGTCTTCGTTTCACAGGTATACCTTCTGTTAAAACTGTTGTTGAAGAAGTACATTCACTATCTGCTGTTTCATCTTTCGACTTCATTCTCAGAAATATTCCCATAAAATGGAAAAATAGTTAGCTTTAAAGGATAAAGTAGTGTGGAAAAAAAATCACCAAAGATACAGGCTTATAATTTGGTGCGCCAGACGTTATCATAAGACTCATCAGCGGCGCTCCAAATAGCTCACCAAAGATACAGGCTTATAATTTGGTGCGCCAGACGTTATCATAAGACTCATCAGCGGCGCTCCAAATAGCTGTTTTCTTAACTTTACCCTGATTTACTTTTCATTGTCATCTTATTGCAGATATATTTATCCCTGTGTTTGACTGTCTGGGTCTTGTTTTTATTTGTCATTTCTTATGTTTCCTGTCTTGAATTGCCTCATTGTCTAAGTATTCATAGAATAATGATGTGTTTATCACTGACTATACGAAATAGTTGCCAAGGTTGAAGTCATAGTATACGATCCGAAGAAAAGCTAACGTTAAAAGAGTTAGGTTGTTCTGTTGAGGTCCTTTGTTTTTTATGTTCCACGACTGAGTTGTTAACATTGGATTCCAGAACAATGTTTAGGTTCCGAGCGAACCGGAAATAGTTAATCTAGAAACACGTGTGCCCGAAAATCAGTATCCTGCCTGCGTTTTGTTACTCTTATTGGAAGTACACCACTAATTCATAGCCCCATTGCTTTCTATGTTAAATTCCTTTATTTCAAGCAGGCACAGCTCTTTTGTCTTAAGTTCAAATAAAGTGACAATCATTGCATGTCAAAGCAACACCTTATGGTGTATTGTACTGACAAAATCAACATACCTTTAATGGCATATAAGAGAGAACTGGTTTCCGGAACTTCGGATGTACCAAAACTGAAAAACAGGCAAAATGTACCCTCCTTTTTAAATTTCTTGCAATTTTTTTTATTATTCACAATTATAAGTCAAAAAGTGTTCTACAATGATCACCAGTCATTCAGCTTTCATTTGATACAAAATTACCCAAATATTCTACATATTTTGAAAGTTACACCCATGCGTAGGACCTATTTTGTGTTAAATATGTACTACTTTCTGGTATGTGCTTTCTGACCGGGCCCGAATTAGTGGTGTTACACCTATTATTAAAAAAATATCAACAAAAACTATGAGCAAATTAGAAGTAAACAATTTCTATTACTATATAATCAAATGTCCTTTTATTTGGTTTGAGTGTTCCTGGTGAAGGTAATTCCAGAAAAGATCTTCGGACAAAGGTAATTTCTAAAGTATTAATTTCATTTACTAGCACCCACTCATTACCGGGCGCATTACATTTGCGCGAATTTGGGGATTAATTTTTTTTTACGTTTGCGCGCGTTCATTTTAAAGGTAACACAGGTAAAAATACAAATTATTCATAATACGTATGACTTTTAATTACTTATTATGAATTTTGAACATACTTGTAAATTTGAAATATATGTTTTTCATATTGAATTCTAAAAAAATATAAAGTGATCACGAGAAATGCCGTTATAGCTTAAGACTTTCATGTAACTTAACTGCGTATATTTCAGAGTAGATAGTATTCTTCTTCCTAATTTTACCGAATAGTGATCGCTTTAGTATTATCTAAATCAGTTTAAAAAGTTACGTCAAGGCGCACACAAGGAGTTTTGTCTGTCAGAAACAAGTCGGAGGAAAAAATCATTAGTGTACGATGGATTTACTTTCCGTATCGACAGAACACTTAAGCCCAGGGATATTTTATGAGGATGCACGGTAAATAATTGCAAAGGTATTTCAGCAGATTCCCTATTCCTCCGATTCTTTGGGCGTCACTACATTCAGCAGAATCCAGGCGTTCTACAAACGGCCTGGAATCATTCCATTCTCACTTCAATGAGGAATTTTATTCAGCACATCCATGTACAATAGTATTTTTGTGTTTTGTGTTCTCTTAAAGCAGTGGGCTTCAAATATATAGAACATTACGACATATAAAATCAGTATTTTTAACATTTAGATTTGCTTTGTTTGTACATTTTTATCTGTGTATATTTCCAGGACTAAGTGCCTGTGCATAATAAAACAGACTTATCCTGCTCGAAAATAATAGTTAAATAAATAATTAAGTATAATCTTCCTGTATTTACCTGAATTTCCTGTAAAAGAATGGGCGCAAATGTAATCAAAAGCTGCGCGCAAATGTAACGCACCGCTCATTACTACTGAAGCACTGTTAATCCCCGCGAACATCATCAGCTGATAAGTCAGTGCTTCAGTACGGACATCATCTATAACAATTGTTTCTTAAATTCTCCGTTGATAAATTAAGAAATTACTAAGAAAGTTAACCAAAGTTTTAACTCCCTCGGGCAAAGTTGACCTCAAATAAATTTGGCTATTGCAGGTCCCTTTTGGTCATTTAATTAGTTTCTCGCGTATTCATGTATTAATACATGATCCTTGGTTTTTAAATATTTGCATTGGTTTGAGAGTATCTGAAGAAAGCGATTCGGACGCAAAAAAAAATATGGAGCGTTATTTTCATTTCATATCACCACACATGATGAATATTGTTAATATGATACTCCATTTAATTATAATAACCAAACAAAATTCAAACTTTATCTTGTCTAATAATATCATATATTTGACACAAAATGCTTCATGATTTAATCTTGGTTGAAAGTCCGGTTATTAATTTTCGGTTTGTAGGAAAAGATACCTACACGAACAAGGAAACAAAAAATGGAAGAAATGAAAAACAGTAACCTCATATGTTTATAAACTAAATGAGGATTTCAAAAGAGATCTTACCAAGTATATATATTGTATCGTAAAGGCTTTTTCAGATTGACTCTTAACATTTTTAAACATAATTATTATTATTATTTCAAGATATCAAAAATGATACATTTGAAAAAATTTACATATAATTTCTGAAAGACAAATGTCTTTTGAATCCCATCTTTATATTAAAATTATAATTTATATAAATGTTTAAAAAAAAAACCAAACATAAATGATATTACTTCATAATTATTTAATTTAACAATAAGCTTTGTGTAACTTCGTTATAATTGATAAAAACACTTCAATTCCGGTTGCCTAACTTTAAAGAACCTACATATAAAATGTATTGTTAATTTGTTCTCGTCCTGAGTAGCAATGTAATATTTGCCACTGGCCGTTGAGCACTTAGCAATCAATTTATCAGTATATATTTTATGTGAAACTACTCTTTTACAACGGGGGCAAGCGCCACCGGATTACTGACACCTGCGTCATCAAAACATATTATGTACAAGCAACATAATATAATTGTAGTAAAACATGTAATAAGATGGTTACAAATATTATATAAGTCTAAAAATTACATTAACGCTAAAGTTACATAATACATTGGTTTTGTCGTAAAAATACATTGCAATAACAAGGTCATATCTATTATATATTATATGAAATATGTCTGTCATCCATGAAAAGACATAAACACTCAAACTTTAAATCTAAAACTTTCGCACACAGTTCATGATATTATAAATTTGAAATTTTATCAAGTAAAAAAGAAAGTTCACTCATAACGTCTGTTAGAGATTTCTTTCCAATCTTATCTTAATTATAGCCCCAGAACAATCAATTAACTCAGATCACCTATCATGAACTGTAGTTGCACTAAGGGCGGCAACTCTGAAAAGCAGATTTCCATTTTTAGACTATCGAAACATGCTTGAACTGAACTGAATTTTAATAACATCTCTTGAACTGAATTTTAATGTGCGTATTGTTATGCGTTTACTTTTCTACATTGGCTAGAGGTATAGGGGGAGGGTTGAGATCTCATAAACATGTTTAACCCCGCCGCATTTTTGCGCCTGTCCCAAGTCAGGAGCCTCTAGCCTTTGTTAGTCTTGTATTATTTTTAATTTTAGTTTCTTGTGTACAATTTGGAGTTTAGTATGGCGTTCATTATCACTGAACTAGTATATATATTTGTTTAGGGGCCAGCTGAAGGACGCCTCCGGGTGCGGGAATTTCTCGCTGCATTGAAGGCCTGTTGGTGGCCTTCTGCTGTTGTCTGTTCTGTGGTCGGGTTGTTGTCTCTTTGACACATTCCCCATTTCCATTCTCAATTTTATTTTATTGTATGTTAGAAATTATTGTCTAGAAAAAAAAAAAACCTAACATGACGTAAAAAAAAAATTAATCGTTGCACCCTCAGCAGTGAATTAAACGTATAATTTACGTAAACAGATTGTTGAATGGGTGGAAATAGACTGACAATTGAAGAATACTCATAGTCCTGAATGACAAAAAAATATAGATAAGAATTATGTTTGTGTAATCTTACCTTTAAGTAAGCGATGAAAAAGTCATCAATATATAAATAAAGATAATGTCCATCAAGTGTTACAATTCGATATAAATTTTTGGTTTTAGGTTTGTACAAAACAGCCGCGCTCATCCATAAATTTCTACGAATGATGAAGTATACAATCATACAGTGAAACCAAATAAAATTTGCATAATGAAATATTCACATCTCTTATTTAGGGTGTTGAATTCCTTTTAAACAAATAAGAATCCCTTGAAATTTTATTCGGAAAAAAATTTGCGGATCAAATATAACTTACATTCTTTCATCACAATGCAACAAATATATGTTGTTGCCCAGGAGTCATTGAAAAAAATGTCACCTGATTTGTATCTTTGATGTTTGACGTCATTAACCATCCATTATGGATACAAAAAGACCGAATACCGCCATTCTATTCAACAATACCATTCTTTTTTTAAATTGCATACAGCAATTTTTGGTGGAATAATGGGATAATTTTCAAAAATCAAGCTTCTGAAAGTAAAAAAAGTAATTTTTAGAATAAAACCATATATACTACATTTAGGGATAGAATTTTATAAATTCGATTATTTTCTGTTTTTACTCCCATATTACCTAAAATAAGGTGAATTTTGATTCCTAATCCTTAAATCTATTTTTAGATTTCTCAAAGCTTATCAGAGCATGGTATGATGAAGTTATATGTACAATAAATCAAACTGTATATTATCTATGCACTTTTAAATATTGATGAAATTGGTATACGAGAAATTTAAATTAATATCTACATATAGCTAAGGTGTCAAATTTACGGATTCTGATGGTTGTATATACATATATAATATTCTAAAAAAATGAAACTAAAAAATAAAATAATAAAATTGAGAGAGATGTCCGAAAACTAGTGACTAAAGTTTTGATAAAATTTATATATGCATTCCATTTGATATCCTTTCTAACTATGACCGTTGAAAACGCCGTCTTAAAAAATGACATCAAATGTTAATCCGTATTTAGTACATGTGCTCTCCATTTTTTATTATAAGTTTTGGATTTTCAAATATTATGGCCTCGTGCATCACTGAAGAGACATTTGTTGTCGAAATGCGCATCTGATGCAGTAAAATTGGTACCGTTAATGTTGTTATAGCAATCCTAATATAATAAGATTGTATTTCGGAGAATTTCCATTCCTAATACATTATGTTACAATTCATGAAATAAATTCGAATGTGAACTTGGCCTTGGTTTTGGCGATCGGAAACAGCAAAATCCTTTAAAAAGGAGCAATCTTGGAAAACAAATTATTTCTAATAAGAGGCGATCCATATTTTTCAAATCCCTTACGTCCCGTTCAAAATACTTCATTGTACCAGGAATCCACAATACTTATAAACAGGATTGCGGGTTTTTTTTTAGTATTGTATGTCTTGGTGTTCATGTGATTGAAATGTTCCGAGTGTGAGAACAAGCGGTGCAAACGAAGCATCGTTATTCAGATATGAAGCTAGTACACCGAAATGAACGTATCATTAATCAAGATACAAAAGACAACACAAGAAAGTAGTCAGAATCACATTAACTACACACGAATCAGATCATTTGTTCCAACGGTGTAAAAATCTCATTTGCATGTCTTCCAATTCAATAAGTTATTTCAAGTAGCAAAAGTCATTGCTAGGAATATGATAGAATGTGTAATGTCAGATAAACTATAAGGGACATGTGGGATATCATTGAACGTGTAAGAATGTCCTTGTTAAGTTGTGACACTGAGACATTGTTAAACTTAACTAATTCATAATGATCGGGTATAAATCTTATAAAGAATTAAAGTTTTTCTCTCTCATCATACTGTTGAAGTTGTTCTAGGGTCAAGAGTGTACCTCTGTTTGCAACATCCTCATAATGTGAGGATGTGTTGTCATATCGTATCAACTGAACCATATACAGTCCTTATTTTCAATCAAATGATAAGTAACTACTTTAGAAGGTGTAGGTAGTTAAATGGAAAACTGGAGCCATTGCGATTGTCTTAGTATTATGTCGCCTATCTGTGTCAATTCCAGTCAAACATAAGGATATGAAAAGAAACTGCTTTCTGTATAATCCTTAGTTTCAACTGGGACTGTTATAATAGTCCCAGGTTTCAGGTTTACTATAATAATTGAGATGCATGCAATCAATTAAAAATAACACAGTTATTGAGCAAAAGGACATTAACAAAATGAGGCAGAAGACACCAAACAGACATTCAAAATAATAAGTCGAAAATACCATGGCAAAAGAAAAACGACGAAAAGACAAACGACAGTTATACCTTCAGGTACTTAGAAGAGTAAGCTGATCCTGCTCCACATGTGTCGACCTTCGTGTTGCTCATGGTAAATACAGGTCGATAAAAAATCACATTCGATAATGTCACCGAGTAGTCGAGGAAAAAAGGACGGGATTGTGGCAACAACAATTGGAACATATCCGTGATCATCTGTGATATAAAAAAATTGATGACGGTCAAAACCCGCAAGTCAAAGTAAAACACTCTGGTAGACGCTTTTTTCTTTCTTCATAAGGTTTTGTATATATTCAGCTTTATATGAATGCAAGAACCTAATGGGAAGAGGTAGGTAAATGGACCATCTGATATAGTTCTTCTGAATATCGAAAAATAAGTTAATGTTTTACAGCAAATTATCAAAATATCTTGTGCAACCATTAGCTATACATTTTGTATGCATTAATACCTTCACAATGTAGGCGAATACTTTTTTTATTTTTCATACTAACCTTTATGTATTGAGTTTTTTTGTGTGAAAAATAATATTGTAATTCGTTCATCCATCTTTGTAAAACGTTTGGAAAATTCCTTTAACTAGGTGTGGGTGTAAAGGATGAACCACGAATATGACCATAGTTTTGTATACTGTATATAATCCAAATCTTTTTAGTAAGAATGTGATCTGTGGCTTGTAGAGCACCTTAATTAAGAATGTACAACCTACGAGATCCGGTTAGGTTCTTTAAACGTAAGCTGATAAATTCAAGCTTAAGAAGGGTAACTCTATTTTCCATGATGGTAACCAATTGCTTATATGTAGATGTTCCGGACCATATGAGTATTTGGACCATACGCGTATGGTCATGACCATATGCGTATATACTCATATGGTCCGGGTATTTAATACGATGGACGTTGCCTTAAGTACGAACCTTCAAGGTGTCATTAATTAAGAGTTTTTAATTGTGATCTATGACAGCAAATGGCAACCAAATACGCGTATGGTCCAAATACTCATATGGTTCGGAATATATTACTATATTGCTCTAAAAAGAAGCATACTTCATGTTAAATATTGTATCATATACCAAAAATAATTTATTTTGTAAACATTTGTTGAGACGGGTTGAGGCGACGAAAACCTTTAAATATAAACGAAATAACAAAACTCAGACCAAAATAAGTACATTTTTCCTTCTAAGGTCCTTGAATTCTTTGCTATTGATTACCACTAAAGAAAATTACCGCTTAAACACTGAAATATTAATGAAAAGTGCATTCTTTACTGATATTTTAAATATCCGTAATAACATAAACGGTACCAATTTTAATGCATCAGATGCGCATTTCGACAATTTATGTCTCTTTAGTAATGCTCGAGGCCAAACTTTTAAGGTGTAAATATTCATTTTGTGTTTTTAATGCGTACAATTATTTTTCAATGCCATTTTTACTTTACTATTTGTGCTTTTGAAATGATTAAGTTAAGTTCCTAGTATATGGCTGTAGCTGTATTTAAATAGGGCTGGTCATTCTCCTATGCATACAAGAAGATGTGTGATATACATTAACACCACAGCTAACCACTGACAATGCTCCTGACTTGAAACAGGCGCATGAAAAACAAGGCGGGGTTAAACTAGTTTTTTGAACATTCAACACTCTCTCTTTTTTAATTTTGATCAGTGGATAACCCAAGGTACACGAAAGAACGTAAGAAAAATCATTTCAGAAAATAGAATTTAACTCTAGAATATCTTTATAACCAAAACGAGCAAAACAATAACATATTCAGTTACAACTAATAGAAAAAAGTAACATTTATTTCAAAATCCTGATTAATAACTAATAGGGATAGTATTTGGGACTGCTGACCTCACATAATATATTTTATTATCGACGCCGGTTGACTTGCAGCCGTCAATCCTTATGAAGTCATCAATAACTTGAATTTGTTCCGACATACACGCATGATGGAATAACTTGACAGGAAATGACCAAACTATCGTTCGTCATTGAAAAAAATGGGAAAGAGTGTCGCCAGTTATTAAAGATGCTCTTTCATCTAGATATTTCAGTTTAACACGGGAAAGTATACTAAAATTTTCGACAAAAGAGACAATTTTTCGGACGAGAGAAATCCAAGAATCACCACATTTCTATACAACTGTCAACCCTTGATGTCTTAATCAGGGGGAGAATAAATTTACAATAAATCCAATAGCTATATGTTCTACAATGACCGGGAAATTCAGACTGTCATTAGACATGAAAGTAATCTACAAAGGCAAGGAAATTTTGACTTGCAACAGGCTGTCTACGGAATCATCACATATTTTTTTTGAAAAGTTCCTTTAATGTGCAGAGAGTGTGGCAATCTCCCTACAAGAGGCATTGGGCAATTCTGACCGGACGCGGCAGTATATTGATACATCCCGCACATCCAAACACACGTCGCTCTTAAACAATTGGTTTTACTTCCTGATCGGAGAAGACAAGTTAATGTGACCATAGTTCCATATCACAATCGACCCTTGGGGTGTTATGGGGTATCTGTCTCACTGTATCGATTATTTAGTTAGATAAAAAAAAAGCATAGCAATATACTCAACAGATTAGTTGTTTGCCTTAAACTGCATCATATCTCTAGATCTCATTTACGCTTCAAAAAACGGATCTACGGCATTTGTATCTGTGTGGAAGACTTATATATTCCCATATAAGCAGTCACGTATCGCAAAATCATCATAAGATTTTAAGCAATCTGATTAAAATTCCGATCTGACGTAACTCGCTTACTCGTTTTATGAGCATATCAAAGTCGGAGATCTATAGTTTGATTAGATTTGAATTTTAAGGAAGTTGTCAATTTTGAAAATAATTCATTCTGCTAACAAATTGAATTAA